CACACGCACACCACACACACACACATACACACACGCACGCACACACACACACCAGACGCAACACAAACGCACCAGACGCCGCACAAACACACCAGACGCCGCACAAACACACCAACGCCCACACAAACACATCAGATACACAACACAACCAACGCCACACAAACACACCCGACACCACACAAACACACCCGACGTCACATAAACACACCAGACGCCATACAAACACACCAACGCCACACAAACACACCCGACACCACACAAACACACCAGACGCCGCACAACCACACTCGATGTCACACAAACACACCAGACGCCGCACAAACACGCCCAACGCCACACAAACATACCAACGCAGCACAAACACATCCGACGCCACACAAAGACACCAGACGCTACACAGACACGCCTGATGCCACACAAACACACCAGACGTCACACAAATACACGTGACGCAAACGAAGGAACGCCACTCAGGCAAAAACATCCCAACTACTGCTTAAGCTCCTTACAAGAGACCGTTCCTACAATCTATAGGTCAAATCACTATAATCATCAGCAACACTTAAGGCATGGCGGCTGGCGCGGTTAGCTCCCATCTCTGACGTCACCAGCAGCCAATGGCCAGCGCCTTTTGTTCCGACCAATAGCGGCGCTCGTACCTCCAGCACGCCGACCTCTTCCTCCGGCGTCGGCCGAACAAAGCGCGGTATGCCGTCGTTGCTGCTGACGTCGCCGATATACACCTCCAGCGTGACGTCACTCAGCAGCGGATCTTCGCCCTGGTCCTGGGAAGCGGCCGGCACGGTGACGTCACGAGGTTCACCCGAGGCGTGACGTCACTCAGCAACGCTGCTCGCCCTGGCTCTGGAGAACCGTGACATCGCACGCACAAGCCCGACGCAGCGTGTCAAGTCATGGTCAGCCACGCTGCCAACACCATAAACCACCACGGCGCAGCCACGACCGGCCCGACCTGACGCCACGTGGCCTGACCTGACCCGACCTCTGCCACTGACCTGGGCGCGGACGGTGAGGCGGTAGGGCGCGGTGCGCCCCTTGCCAGACAGGTCACCCGACACCGTCAGCTCGCCAGTCTCCGGCTCCAGCGTGAATAGACCTGCAACGCACCGGGTCCCGCACCGGTCAGGCAGCAGTGAGGGACTCCCCGCCGTCGCCGCGTGGACAGGCGGCGGTAAGAGACTCGCCGCCGCCGCCGCCGCATGGCACGGGCAGCGGTGAGAGACTCTCCGCCACCGCCGCATGGCACGGGCAGCGGTGAGAGACTCTCCGCCACCGCCGCATGGCACGGGCAGCGGTGGGAGACTCGCCGCCGCCGCCGCCGCGTGGCACGGGCAGCGGTGAGAGACTCGCCGCCGCCGCCGCCGCGTGGCACGGACAGCGGTGAGAGACTCTCCGCCGCTGCCGCCGCGTGGCACGGGCAGCGTGAGAGACCCTCCGCCGCCGCCGCCGCGTGGCACGGGCAGCAGTGGGTAGGCTGCGGCGGCCGTTGGTACCGTTCCCGACCTGCGGGGAGCGTCGAACCGTGCCGCCAGATTCGTCGACATGTGTGACTTGCTGGGTCTGAAACAGTGGGTCCACCAATCCACTAGAGGAGAGTACGTTCTGAACCCAGTACTGTCCCGACGCATACCGTCACAGGTCGAAGTGCAAGGAGCTCTTCTGAGCTCAGATCACAAAGAGACCATTGCCACCCTCAGTGAGCCGGTGAATCGGCGCACTGCGTTTAGCTATAAGAAAGCTGACTTCGACGACCTGCGCCGAAGTCTCTCCCCGATCCCGTGGGGGTTGCTGGATGACGTCGGAGTTGACCAAGCAAAGGGCACCTTCCACACACTGCTTGTGTCGGCCATTGCCGACCACGTCCCCACAGTGACCCTTCAGCATCGATTGCCCCCTTGTTCGACGGTGCGGTGCGAGCTGCTTTCCGGCTGAAAGAGGCAGCTTTCCGACGTCTGCCTAGAAACCCCGGCGCGGTGACCGCAGCCGAGTTCGCGGACGGGAGACGTTATTTTGATACCGTGCTCAAAGACAAGTGCTCTTAATAATAACATAAACTCATCGATGATTCCAAAACGAACCCCAAGCGGTAACAGTTGTTTTTGAAGTAAGAGGTCAGGGATATCACATGCCTTGTATAACTCTGAGCGTACTCTCATGTCGGATGACACGGCTCGCGGTGCCGTGTTGAATGCTGCCTTTGCTCTGAAACTTGCTTACATCCGTGTGCAAACCCTCCAGATCGCCGTGCTACACACGGGTCATTGAGCGAGCTGCGAGTCTCTGAGGCAACCGTGCAATCCGCGACAACTAAGGTCGGTCCCAACAGGACCTGCGGGACTGACAATACCAGCGTCCGCATAATGACCGATTGCGTGGACGAGTTAGCTGCCTCACTCACCAAGACCTGTAACCTCTCGGCGAGTCCTGGTGTCTTCCCGGGGAGGTGCAAGCAGGCAAACACTATACCTATTTTCAAGACAGGCGACACAAAGGAGCCAGCAAATTACGGAAGCATATCCCTGCTTCATCTCTTAGGAAATATACTAGAGCGGGTTGCGTATGATGGGCTGTTCGGTCACGTCTCGCAGGTGATGTGCCATCGTCCGTGTGGTTTTAGTCTTAAGCGCTCGTGCGGCACAACATATGTGTTTGCCTAATTACACGGGTATACTAGATAGAGCGGGTTGCGTATGACGGGCTGTTCGGTCACGTCTCGCAGGTGATGTGCCATCGTCCGCGTGGTTTTAGTCTTAAGCGCTCGTGTGGCACAACATATGTGTTTGCCTAATTATACGGGTATACTAGATACTAGAACGGGTTGCGTATGCTCGGCTGTTCGGCCACGTCTGCCCGGTGACGTGCCATCGTCCGCGTGGTTTTAGTCTTAAGCGCTCGTGTGGCACAACATATGTGTTTGCCTAATTATACGGGTATAATAGATACTAGAACGGGTTGCGTATGCTCGGCTGTTCGGCCACGTCTGGCCGGTGATGTGCCATCGTCCGCGTGGTTTTAGTCTTAAGCGCTCGTGCGGCACAACATATGTGTTTGCCTGAAATCGGCCTGGGAGGCCATGTCAGACGGATACCAGACGGATGCCATTTCCAATGATTGCTCGGCTGGTTTTCAGAGCATT